ATAATGCACTGCTAAGAAGTTAAGCAGCAGCTGCTCCTGACATCACAATGTGCTCTTTCTGCTGTTGTAAACTTTGAGCAGGAGAACAGTCACTGGCAGTCCCTTTATACTTGTTGGTCTTCTGTGCTCTGTTCTTGATACACTGTACATGACCGTGGAGCACCGAACCCCTTGTTACTGCTGGAACTTAGAAAAATACAGATCATTGTTAAAACCATGCTACATGCAAGAGTGTATAGTTGTCAATTATGTGCTCATATTTACAGATATTGTATTTTCAGAAGCCAATGACAAGCCTCAACACACACACACACGCACAAACAGTGAAGACTGAAAATATATTTAATATGATACAAGAGCAAAACTACAATGTTATAGATGAAGACATGAAACTTCTGACAGGCATGAAAAGCCAATATAGTTTCTTCTATTTCGACTTTACACTAGGTGTGAGAAGTAGACCACAAATAAGTTCACTAAAAAACACAAGTTAGACTCCATTACAAAACAACAGCCAATGTTCATAACTTTAAGCCTGTCTAACATAGCCAGCTCACCATACCGCATATAGGAGCAAATGGGCAGTCTAGAAGACACAAAGAACTTGTGGATTATGAGTGTGCTTGTTGCTGACATCTATTATCCTAAATGAAGAAAACCTTTCAAAAATGCACTTCATCAGGGGAAATAATCATACGCAACAAACACAACGGGCTCCTACAGGTGCCACCAACACTCACCATTATTGTTGATACCAGTGTCTTGCCGGATGGATATGCTGCGTCCTGCACCGAACACCAAAGGAGCGCTCCATGACTTGGATTGCATGTGTGCTAGCTGCATCGCTCTGCTGCTGAAATAGGCTAGCCACAGACAGAGAAATGAGAAGCCATGGCTTTGAAACACACTGAACATCACCTTTAGAGATCAACAATGCATACTTAGGTCAGGTACAATTTGTAGAAAAATAAATATCACTATGCAATCGTGATGAACATGTTCGGCAAAACACAAGCAACAGCACTGAGAGAGAAAAAGCTACATTAGGTAAAAGATGCAGTTACTGGCCCTATGTCATCTGAGGCTTCTTCAATAGATCTTTCTCCTTGCAAGTTGTGAACAGCCAGGCAATTTTCACCCACTTGCTATTTCCTTTCTGAGCACTTGATCCACAGAGGGAGTCACAAGCTCGAGAGCTCAATAAGGAATCAAAGTATTTGTGCTCGTTTCAAAGCACAAGCTTTTGAGTCTCAGATTATTGGAGTTTCATTCATAACCTGCAGGCTTTCAGCTTTCAACATTCTCAATTATCTTGCAATTTAGTTCTATAAATGTTGAATAAGAATTATGTGTAAGAATATTACAGGTATCCACTGAAAGCAACCATGCTTGGGTTTTGAATTTGTGCACAGTAAGTGGTGTTCACGTAATCGTATGTATTAAAGAAAAATTAACCTTGCAGCCAGCCGTTAGGCAGTTTTGTGCCCTCCAAGCTCCCAAGCAGATCGCAGTACTTCCAGATGAGGCTGCCATGCATGCTTCCATGCCACATCCGCTGAATGATAACAGTCCCAGCAGTTACATAGGCTTGCACAGTTAGGGAGAACGTGTCCTTCCTATTTTTGTACAGGTGCTCCAAGTAATGATGAGGATTGATGTGCCAGAATGCACAACCGGTGCATCACAGGACCTTAACAAACCGATCTCTGCGATCTGTGAAGAGCCAAAAACGAGATATTTAAAATTAATCATTAAGAGCACTCACTTCTAATACTTATTTGAGGAAGCTATCACTTCGTTAAAGTGACCAAAATCTGCTATAATCAGTTTGAAATAAACTGAAGCCTCATGTAAAATTCACGTACCGCAATATATATGTTCTACTGAAGTAGAGTACTACCACAGTGGTAATCGTCTATAGAACTAATTTTCCAAAATAACATAAATTTTTTAAGTGCAACCTGGCTGCTGAAAAATAAATTCACATTAACTTTCCAACTATCAAACGTGGTCAATCGACAGGCCCAGGCTCATAATCAAACAAGAGCTCACTTGTAACAAATCACAAAAACTTTTTATGTATTTGCTCCATAATATATGTATGTATATAACAGTGGTAGTAAATTTTTCATGCTTCAACTTACCATAGAGGAACATTACATCTGATGGGCTTAAAAGCTTGCACACGTTATAGAACTGCGTGAATTATAGTACCGGTGAAATTTAGTTCTGCAAGGTGAACTCACCGATGGCAGCATTTAGTAGCCGTCGGTGTCATGAGGAACGAAGTACGGCCAACAGGCAAAGGGCATCTGCAGACTGGAAGCTGCCAATGACAGCAATGAAGGGCTGGTCAGGCGTGCACGTCCATTGATAAAGTGTAAGAACTGGCCATGACCGGCTGTTGTCAAGGCTCTAGTGCCGTGCAAAACGATGGCCAGACGAACTCGGAAACCTGTAGTTAGGCGATATTGGCCTACAACTTCATCGAAAGCAAGGTACCGGTGAAATCTTTGCCTTTTCTGGGGGCCGGAGGGAAGCTTGACGTTCACGGGCTCTCGCTGCCACATAAAATTCTCATGTATTACCGAAGAACAGTCTAGGCGCGCTTCGAAAGTAACCCGATCCACAACAGAATGTAGCATCTCGCAGTTTTGGTTGATCACATCACAGCGCTAGGACTATGGTTATCACAAAAAGGAGAAGTGACGACTTAACAAACAAAAGCGCCAAGCTGCCCCACCACAACTTCGCAGGGCAAAACAGTTATCAACGCTGTCTTTCAATTTTTGGTCACACGAGCACAGCTTGTTCACAAGTCTTGGAACGTCAACACAGCTCCACTGTTCACAACGAACATCGTTTCACTCCCGAACAGTACAGTGCTCTCAAGTAAATAGAAGCATACGGGCTAACTAGTGGCGAAGCAAGAACCGAGCGCGTAGTTCATACGTTTCCGTACGTACTTGGGGTCACTCAAGTAACGTGTCAAAACGCTGTCAATCCGAAATGTCACACAGCACCCAACTGAGAGACTGGAAAGTCAAGCGAACAAATTGTTACCGGCACAAAAACACACATTGCAGGCTTCTCGAGTGCTAGTTGCCGTCGATACATCGACGCCGATCCCCGCTTGATAACCACACCGACGCACAGGCTTCGCTGCGCTTCACCGTACACCATTGCACTGCCACAGCTTTCCGCACTGCTTACACGCACCGAAAGAGCTCCTGTAATCACAACACATCCGGTCAAACGCTGAAGTAACTCGTGCGAGAAGCGTTTGCTGAAAGTCGCACCGACCGATACGCTGTTTATGACGCCATGTTGTTTTCGCCAACTGCGCAGCACATAAGAGAGCTCTTAGAAAGTACTTGAACTATTTTCACGGCGTGAAAAAATTTTCTCTTATGTGCGAGGGGGGTGATATGACGAACAGGACAGGCGTGCCAGAGGAAAGAAGTGTTTTGGCAACGTCAAGGAGCGAGATGATGTAGAGGGTATTGCTTCACAACCAATCACAAGCTGTGCCTGTAGGCCAAGCCGTCGTCTGCTCGCGTTTGTCGTCTGCTTCGATCAGAGCATGCGACAGGGGATTCGCCTTCGCAACGGTATTATTCTCAGGTCAAGTGGTCGCTGCGTCGCACAAAATACATGTCAGTGGCTCGCTCTACCTTTGAATGATGTTCGTGCGCCAAGTTAAATGGCTGGTAATTGACGCAGGGACGAATTCAGCCAAGGTTTGCTCCAAAATCATGAGGGTTTGCATATTTTCGGTGTCATACAAAGTTACTAGGGTCATTTCATTCCGATTGCTTGCCATATTATCACGGTACATATCGGTGTCTGAACAGTGAAGGTGAAGATGCATGATTTGTTTGTAGTTCCATTCGTAATCACGCGCACCCCTATTACGCTTTGGTTTACAAAGTACGCTTTGTTCCAGATCGTCCCAAAGTGTATCGACAGCTGTATTTCAGAGATCGCAACCATTGGACAGTTAGAGCCAATGAACTTTTCATTGCCCTACCGACAACAGACACCACTTTACCAGCAGTGTTCATTGGTGGGGAACCACTTTTGAGACATTAATCGTTGTTGGCTTTTTTGAGAGAAGTCTGTACCTTTCATGTCTTATGTCCAGGCATTCCGTAGCATGACTTCTTCAGAGAGGTCTCCGCTGCAGTGGCTGCAATGAACAAAGCACTTGGGCTAACGCCATAAATGTTCACCATAATTTTTATTATCACAAACTTTCGTCAGTTATTCACACTACACACATCTCACGACATGGTCATAATTTAAATACTTCTATGTTTTTACCCACCTTATCACGAGGAATTCGAAGGGCTGTAGATAGTGGCTTATTGCAATCATCGTGCAATTTTCTAGTACCATTAACTGGTGATTTTTTGCCATCAAATGAACCTTGTGCCACAAAACACAAACATCATCATCAGCATTCCAGACAAACTTTCGTTTGCTCCAAGTTAAGAAGGTGATTGCGAGAGCACCCAGACGTAGGCGGATAGATAGATAGATAGATAGATAGATAGATAAATAGATAGATAGATAGATAAATTGATAGATAGATAGATAGATAAATTGATAGATAGATAGATAGATAGATAGATAGATAGATAGATAGATAGATAGATAGATAGATAGATAGATAGATAGATAGATAGATAGATAGATAGATTGTTTCAGTATGCACTGAAATGCTCGGCATTTAGTAACATTTCTAATGAGACAGAGTACAGATCATATGTTAATAACAAGATCTTCGTCTGTTACGAACGCTTTCTTTGCAAATATAGTATCAGTTCAAAGTTGCGTCAATCTTCACGCAATAATAAAAAAGAACTCGTTCATTTTATTCGCAGGAGCTTGGAAGGCACTTGGAAATTAGAGAGGAGCCAGAGTAAGAATAGAAAACACAATTTCCAATGAGGTTTCAAAAATTTCATCTGTGAATAGGAATGCAAATATACAGCGAATTACTAAAACCAATATTTATTGCACTGGTCGTATTGGCTTAACAACTCTTTAGGTGTCAGTAAAAAAAATTTCCTTAGATACACTTCTAGAAATAGTGGTATGGGATGTCTTAGCTATAGCACCTCTTCACAGTAGTGTTCTTTTTCTTTTTTTCACGTCAGTCGCATGACATGCGCCACAAATACTTGTGAATTAGTTGTCTTTCGCTGTACTTGCTCATCATAGCCTTCTTTCTCCGTCCTGTGACAATTTCTGAATGGCATCCTGCTCTTCAGTAGCAGTTACGCAAGGAAATTCTTCGTTCAATTTGTCTAGGCCATCTGGTTTTGTTTTCGAGGCATTCTTCGTGCTGCATGACAAAGAAATATTCCCGTAAGCATTAACAAGTTTATTACAATAGGCTGGTTCTGTGCTTATTCCCTCTTTACAACGACCAAAATCAGAGGTAGTTCCTAGTAAGCAGTCACAATAGAGGAGAACAAGCCAGGCGTGCATGCGCGGACGCAATTGTTGTCAGTTTCTCTTTTATGATTTCCATGCCTGTACGCTTTGCCTTATTTTATTGTGGAGTCGCACTACTATGAATTCCGTTGCAGAAGAAAAAATTTTGTAAAATTGCGTACGTTCGAGTAAAATGTTCCCTCGAAAATGCCCAAGCATCGCGTACGTTTTATTTAGTTTGTTATATCGAAGAACGAAGCAACGGTTAGTCTCTACAAATGCACGAAAGCGCGCACGCTTCTGTAAAATGGTGCGCTATTGCCAATTAAGAGTATGCTTCATTGCGTGCGAAACATAGTTTAAAATTCAAGTGTATCCCCAATATATTGGTACATTTTTGTTCGATGAAAAGATTTTGGAGATCGCAGCTTCAAAAATATGTACTTTTAACCCGCCCATTCTTGAAAATTTTGACAAATATTGCGAAGTTTCGGTAAAAACGAAGAACGCAGAATAAAGGTACGTGGCACTGCACTCAAAAAAGATATCTCAATAATAATGACAGATGTGAAACAAACTATATATATGTATATGCTATAATCCGTAACTGTTCCAAGCGCAGGATTCTCTGTAGCGCGTTACCACGTACTCCATTATATTCATTGTTATGGTAAGGTATTCTTTATTATATTATGCCTCTAAATATTTTAAAAGAGGAAACAACTATTTTGGGCCTGAAGCTGCAACTACGGGTTATGATCACAAGTGTGCATTCTTTATGTAGCAGTGTTGAAGTATCATAGTTTCCGAGACAACCAGTCAAGAAAATGCGTTGCCAAATAGTTTACCTTGCAAGACTTCATGACAAGGCTGCGAAAATTGTTCTTGTAATTCTAGTTTGAAGACATATACTTTTGCTAATTTATTAAATTACCCACACAAAGAGTGCTGCTCGACTATATTGCTTTATGTTACTCCTGGCAGCGAAATAATGTGTCTAGAGAAGCTAGAAACCTGGAAATCTCTTCATTTGGCAGTTTGTATTACGAAAAAGTTTAATTTTATTACCTTCTTTTTTTGACGTCATCAACAGTGTCCGGAAGCGTCATCTTGAAGGTCTCTGGTAGCATTAGGCACAATAGTATAGACAGCACGCACACTGTGCAGTCCACTGCTTTAGGAGCCCATGGTCCTATTATTACGGCCTGGAATTCATACGCCACTTTTAGTAACGTCTGTGATCAATGCTAGCGCAATAAGCGCGGTGGGACTGCTATTGTTATCATTAGTATATAATGCGTGCAATTGTTAGAATAGCCGTAGAGCACCAAGACAATGAAAATGTAAATGCAACAGTGTTATCTATGACAATGACCGAATGTAACGTGGATGTAAAGAGCCTAAAGTTCAGTGCACTGGTTGTGCGTAAAGTAAGTATACATAGTAAACTTAAGATAACGACATGGAATACATCCAATAAATCTCACACACGTGCTTCCTAAACGTTCGTACTTTAAACATAGTTGATAAGTTTGACGGCGCAAAGCAACGATTATTTTAATACAATGTCAGAGTAATTGATTTTCTGGTGCACCAATTAAACTTCATTTTCACATCATGATAATGTTGGTATTGTGAGAAGACGTGATAAAGTGCAAAAAAGATGAAACATTGTTGCATATATGACTGTAGTATACAAGGGACTTCAGACTTATCTGGTGGCTAATATCAAGTGGCCCTACCATAGTATTGTCGCTTGATATAGAGATCCATTGACATTATTTTGCTGTGGATAATCTAAATATCACACCGACATCACGAAAATGCAAGCTAAGGTTTGCCCTCAGAGTTGAGGACTGGGCTGTGGCCTATGTCCCCAGAGAAAACGTAGCATAAAATGAACGTCATTTAAAAAGTGTAGTTGCTTGCTGAAACAAAGTCATGCAGCTCTCTCATAAAAATTAGAAGCAATGGATGAAACAAGATATCTCTTAAAGGCCTCAGAAAAGTGGCGTTTCCGCTTCACTTCCATTTTCGTGTATTCGAGGAAAGCCTATAAAACGGACGGGTTCTTTTTGCATCTCTCGCGTAGTGGTGTGTTAGAACCGTTTAGGACATGGTAATGAATGTTATAGGTATGCCCTATATGGATACGGCATAAAACAGCTTCTCTGTATCTATCACAGCAGCAAAAAACTAGGCTTTTATTACGAGGGTTCACAGTATTGATTTTGTTGATTTCTACATCGGACTCTTTCTTCCACCTCTCACACAGATTGTGGTGGACAAGATCTTTGTATGGCACAATGCTCATGTCAACGCTGCTTTTTTGTGCGGCTGCTGCTGCGCAGGCATCCACTCGTTTGTTCCCATCATTACCGACATGGCCGGGTTCCCGGCCTATTATAATCTCTGAAGTGCTCCGATATGCCGTCATTATTTGCCTTTTCAAATCTCTGAGCAGTGTAGCTTATTAAAACTTGTTGGAGTAATTGGCAACTCGTAATATTATCAGTAGCATATTCAAGTGTGAATGTGGTAGTGTTTGCAGTGGTTCCTGAGTTGCGCTAAATTGCTTACATATGGCTGAGGGCTGGATTATTGTCGTTTCATTGTTCAATACACGAACGATGCTCAGTGAATGTGTCAATACAAAGTATTTCTTAATGTTCCGAATAACAATGTATATTAGGGTGGTTAGGACCGCATATGCTTCTGCGGTAAAAAAAGGTCATGGATTTCCCGCAAAGGCGAAGCAATGAACGCGATAGCAACAAATTGGAAGGTCACGCGCAGAATGACAACCAGATAGAAACGTGCCCCGCGTTTCTCACGCACAAATGACGCACGAAACGTAGTCACAGGTACAGATGAACGCGAATAAGCGTCTCATTTGTTATTGAATTGTGCCAGAAAAGCGCGACGTTTTCACAAACGGAGACTGTGCAACCATTGTAGTGACCTTTGTGCGCCGCTTAACTAAATAGAATCGTTCCAGTGCAAGCGCAACGCCAGCCAAGGCGTATGATCCTCCCCACCGGGAGATAAAGGCGCGCGAGATCGCCCACTCCACTCCTCTCCGTGGGACAAAGTACGCGTGAGAGAGGAGAGCCGCCGCGCACTCAGTGCGTGATCTAGCTGACAATGCTGAAAACACGATAATTCCCCCCTCCCCGAGATGCCTGCCAAAAGCGGTAAGTGGTAGATATAAATTGCGTGCCCTTTGAAACATTAGAGGAGGTATTCCTCGGTGGCTCAATGGTTAACGTCTCGCCTTCACGACGCGGAGGTCCCACGCTCGATTCCACGCGGTGGAGTCTTTTGATGGATTGTTTCTTTCTTGCGTTTTCATATATATATATATATATATATATATATATATATATTGCAAGGGGGTTTATTAGCGACGCCAGATAATAGGCAGACAGCCGGTACAGAAACAAATGCTCGGGCAGTCCAGTGTCTACAGCTCGTGCTCGCGCTTCGCACTCAGCGATGGTCCCACTATCATTGCCTTGCGAATTCCCCACTACAATGCCCCGGCGACGAAGACGAGCCATCCTGGCGACTCAAGGTGACGAGAGAACAGGAGGGTCGTAACAGGGTTTGAGGCGACTGACGTGGACCGTCTCACGACCAAGGCGGCGCTTGTCCGTGGACGGCTTGAGTGGTTCAATCACATAGGTGACAGAAGAAGGGTGTTGTATGACGCGGTAAGGGCCCGTATACTTCGGTGCAAACTTGGGAGTCAGTCCAGGAAAGTGGAAAGGCAGTCGGAGCCACACGAGAGAACCGACGGGGAAGGTATTCTGAACAAGATCATGGTCGTGGCGATCTTTTTGGAGGGCTTGGTTATCGGCTGTGAAGGACGATAATATATATATACTACAATATATATATATTACACTACAATATATATATATATATATATATATAATTACGGTGCATGGCATCGACGTCAACGCCGGTGGTGAAATGTAGCCGAGAGTGTCATAATAAAAAAACACCAGGCCTGCGCGGAATGCGCAGCACACTCACAGAAAAAGCTGGAACAGAGGCCTTTCAGAACCTTTTTAACCAATATTTATTAACTGCTGCAAGCACACTTACACGGTACCCACTACACCATAGGCCGTCGTAATTTTTGTGTAGTAGGAAGGCGTTCACCATGCCATCCTCAGTCATTTTTCGGAGAAGCATGGTACCCGCTACATACACGCAAGGAATTTTGTGCAGTTTTTTCATTCTGTAGCTGATGACGAGGAATTATGGCTAGCACTCTTGTAATGGGTTGTACCATTCGAGCATGTAGGACGCCTGGCTGTTCCTTTGCTTTATCACACACATTAATGCGATTCCCTTCTTGATATGCCTAGGATGAGTTTGCTACGGAGTTCTAAGCAGCGGCATATAGCTCAGTGTTAGCCTATCTGCGCTGGCACGCAGGGGACTTGGGTTCGAATTCAATTGTTTCCTAGATGTTTTTATGTCCTTTGTTTTATTCATATTGCTCGATAGTGTATATGAACGCCAGCTGCAGCGGTAGTGAAAAACTGTATCGTAGTGATTCAAAAACTGTACTTAGTGAACAAATGTATTGTACTGATTGTATAGTGGGAGTGCTGCGTCAATTACGCGATTCTGCCCCAATCTGACCTGCTGCGTCAGGCGGTGCCTAAACGACAATGATAATCGTTCATTAGAAGTGTAAAACGCCGAATCTAGCCGATCATTATCGTCGACCGACCAACAATCAGCGTTGGCTACACCAACGAGGGGGCCACATCCATATACAGTGTAGTTCGATGACGTCGTAGTTTGGTTCATTCATGAGGCTTGTAAGTCCTCGTCTCACTGCTGTTATTGCCGTGGTTCCCCACAAAAGTGGTGGCACCTACATTATTGTATATTAAAACCTCCATTATTGAAACCTCGAAGGCAGTGCGCGTTTACAAGTGCAAATATCTCCTGAGGTGCGCCATCGTCACTAAGAAACAATGCAGTACCACAGCAGATGTTGCCTAAAGTACCCACCAGAAAGTATTTCCTTCCTTTTTGCCAGAGTGCGGAAGCTTTTTTGGGCTGGCACTCTCGCAAGATCGATTTACAGTGCGCCGTGGTGACGCCGAGGGGCATTTCGAAACTGCCACTGGGTTTGGCTGACGCAGCCATGCAAGATTGCTACAGAACGGGCTCTATTGGCTTTCCGCAATACACATGTGCGCTTCTGTACTGCGATCTGATACTAAGCGACAACTGACACTTTCACTGAAACCCGGAGCGGTCACTTGGACTCTGATTATCTTCTTGTTAGCGCGGCGTCTGCGCTGCCCACGCCGTCGCTTCCTGGCGGCTCGCAGTACCGTGCGCGCAAAGTTGATGTGTGAATTGCTCCTCTCCACGTCGCTCCAGACAGAGCACAGATAAGGAGAGTAGTGTGTACAATTAGCGTGGCTATAAAAACTTTCGCTAAGCGAGGTGTGCTTCGATTATATGTACTCCTTTTCACACATAAGGTGCAGCGCTGCGGGCTAGCGAGCCTCCTTGCTGTAGATTTGTTCCCGCAGATAAATATATTCTGGGTGGCAAAAGCTTGGAAAATCGTTCTTTTTGTTTCAGGCTGAGTAATTTCATTTTCATTTCCTTTATTGGTACCCTCAGGACCGGGAGGTATTACAGAGGGGAGTGGTATTAGCACAAAAAGAAAAAAAAAGAAAAAAAAGAATACAGAAATGCAGCAATGGATATGCAGTTATTACAGTGGTGCGGCTCCTACTCATACAGTCTTAGCTAATGGTGTTTTTAAACAATTCATGATCTTGGATAGTTGCTATTGATGCGGGAAGGTGATTCCATTCGATGCTCGTGCGTGGTAGGAATGATGTGTGGCAGCCATTTGTTCTGCATAATGGAACTCCGACCTTGTGACGATAATCTAGACGAGGTGATACATAATCTGGTAGTGAAATAAGTTCATTATGTAATTGGGGATGGTGATATATTTTGTAACAAAGACACAAACGAAGAAACTGACGGCGAGATGCTAAAGATGGTAAGTTCAAGCTAGATTTCATTGCCTGTATGCTTGCGGTGTGGTTTTGATTGGAAAGAATAAAGCGGGTAGAATTATTTTGAACCATTTCGACTGAGTGTATTAGATTGGCAGATACAGGATCCCAAACCGAGGCAGCATATTCTAATTTAGGGCGA